GTCGGGGGGACGGGACATCAAACTCCACACAAACAAACAGTCACCAAGAGTAGAATCAAACCTGGGGCCCTGGCACTTCGAAGCAGCACTGCTAACAATGCTGCTACTGTAGAAAATTCTACTAATCAGCTGTTAAAACTAGTTACAATCCTTTCCTAGTAATAGTTCTCAGGTGCATATACAACTTGATGAATCTAGACTAATTTCTCTCTTTGTGACTTTCTATCCCAAGAAAAATAAATAATGGATCGTAATGCAACGACACACTATGGTGTGTAAGTATGCTCATAAAGACAGCTACTACTGCTGTTCATGACAAAGCACTTCATCAACCAGCACCAGCAGAAATCGATATAACAAATGAAAAAAATTAACAAATAAACTGATTCATTTCATTTTTATCTCCGCTTTGACAGTTGCATTGGAAAAAAAATTGCTTTGAACTGAAATTTCACCTCTTGATCCCATTGGTATTTCATTGCATTAAATGAAATACCAAGTAGTGGCATCCAGTAATATTTTCTCACTGACAATGTCAGGAATTTCATAACATAAAGGCTCAAGAAACACCCGCAGATTAGTACATGGAGATCATTATCAAGGAAAAGGTATTTCTCTATAATAATACCAGACTCTTTTAAAAAAAAGTTTACTTTTAAGAAAAAGGTGCTTTTAAAACAAAATTGTCAAGCAATTGCACAACTTGCAAGTATTAGGCAGAATTTCAAACCAAATGCTGGAACAATAAATACCAGCTTAACTTTCCCATATATGTCTACTGACAAATTACTAAAAAAAAACTGCTTCACTAAAAAATTCACTCCCCCTCTAAACCCAGCTGAATAAGAACAGCTAACAGTGACAAATCTCTCTTCTCCAAGTAATATAAAAAAAAGAACTGTGCCAATTTCCCCATGGCTCAGATTGTAATCCTAAAGATATTACTTAGGAGGTTCAGTTTTTTCCATTTTAGGTCAGCGCATGTCACGACAGGGCCAGGACTACAGGGTGGGTAAATACATGGAAGGTGGTGCTCAGGCTCCAAAATTATTAAACCCAACCATGTTTCTTGGCTTTGTTCTTTGTATAGAGCTTGCTACAGTGCTCCAATGAGGTTCTGTGCAAGCTGGAAGAACAGCATCTCATTTTACACTTGGGGACCCTACAGCCTTCAGGGTTCAATGTTGAGTTTAACAATTGCTGCTTTCAGCACAGCCAACCCATTTTCATCTACTTATGACCCCCATTATCAAGTTTTCTTTCTCCCAGGCTTACCATTATCCATAAAAACTGAAAGAACGGCAGGTGCTGTAAATCAGGAACAAAAACAGAAGTTGCTGGAAAAGCTCAGCAGGTCTGGCAGCATCTGTGAAGAAAAAATCAGAGTTA